ATTAACGTTGTCTTATATGAAACTATATTGTATCTTGTTACAACTTTATACTTGATTTCATCCTTATTTCTTCAATAAAAAGATATTGATAAAAAAAAAAAAGTTTTTTTTAACCCTTTTGCGGCTGGGGTGTGTGTGTTTGGTGGGGGGGTGCGGCAGGGTTAGAGGGACACTTGAGTGTTAGGAATACATCATTGTATTATGTGTTATTGCACTAAAATGTTATTTTCAAATAATTAGTGCTGGACACTGCTTTTTTTCCTTTGTAGATCATAAATTCCATATAGTTATAAGACCATAGCATGCTCTGCACAGTTGTTTTTCATTATTTATTTTTTTTGCATTTACATTTTCTTAAAACATTGTAGTCATTGCATTTATATTTACTTCTTTTTATTTTATGTGAAAGTGCAGTATATAAAAAATGTGAATTTATTCTGAATAAAAGAATAAGACATTTTCTATCAACAAGTTATCTATTAGTCTCAGATTATATTTTGAAATCCCATACAGTATGGTGGGTGGCCATTTATTCAAAACTTAAACTGTGACTGGCAGTGTGAAGTGTGGGCCCTAGCCTTAAGGCAGCTTGTGCTGGCATGCCTGTGTGATTAGTAAGAGTCACACTCCCAGACAGCAGCTGCTATTTAACACCATTACCCTTATTTCAGGCTCTCTCACATCAATGAACTGGGAGAGCGACTAGGCAATTTGTTCTCTCCACCTCCGCTGCCAGCATATCTCCTAATAAAGAGAGCTTGGGTTAGGTGTAGCAGTTGCTGCCTGTAGCTCCCACAAGTCTCAGGCAAACTGGGGCATGTATGCTGGGCCTGCCCTGCATAATATTGGAGATCCCACTTTTTAATTATTTACTTAAAAAAGGTATGACAGAGTCGATTCTCTCTCTCTTTCTCTCTCCCATCATGCATTATTTGTAATGTGTCTCATTGTACTTTTCAGTGTAACAGAAGAGGGCAGCTCATATGTACTAAAAGAGGTAATTCCATAGAACATAATAGGCATGTGCATGGGAAAAAATTTTGTTTCGGTTCGGCATTCCGAAATTCGGCACTTCGACACCTCGGAACTTCGGCACTTCGACACTTCGGAACTCCGGCACTTCGACACTTTGGAAATTCGGTAATTTCGGAACTTCGGGACCTCTGCAATTCGGTACTTCGGCAATTCAGCACTTCTGCAACTTCGGGACTTCGGAATTTCGGAACGTCTCTTGCAGCCGCTTGGTAGATAACTCCCTAATTCCCACGGTATTAGGGAGTTATCTACCAAAAGGCTGAAAGACCTAAATTGCTCTTTCAGACAAATTTACTAATACTAAGTAAAAATTAACCCCTCCCCTGGGTGACTAAGGATCCCCAAACCCCTAGTCACCCCCCTCCTCCAAAAAATTAACCCCTACCTACCCCCCTCACCCTAAAAATAATGAGGGGGGACCATTTAACTAAGTACCTGAAAAAAATAAATAAAACTTACCATGTGATGTTTTCTTTCTTCTAAAATCTTCTTTTTACAGCCCCAAAAAAGGCCAAATAAAAAGCCATAATAACCGACGCACTTTAAAAAAGTAAAAAAAAAAAAAACAGAGCGCAAAAAAATAAATCCATCTTCACCCATGGAGGGCTCCGCGCAGACTGAGCTCTGCAGGGCGGGGGAAGGCTTATAAAGCCTTGCCCCGCCCTGCAATTCGGCTCAGAGCACTCTGATTGGTGGGTTTAAGCCATCCAATCAGAGTACTCTGACAGGTAAATGAAAAGACTGTGTAATTTGACTCATAACTCTCTGATTGGTTACTTAACTGATTGGCCACTGGCTGCTCACTGTTTAATAGACATGCCCCTACTCGTGGTATAGCGAGTAGCATCATAATTTACTAATACTAAGTAATCTTTACTTAGTATTAGTAAATTTGGCTGAAAGACCAATTCATGTCTTTCAGCCTTTTAGTAGATAGCTCCCTAATACCATGGGAATTAGGGAGTTATCTACTTATTCATTCCTGTCATTACACTGACTGGCCAAGTAACTTACATTTTATATGAATGTATGTTACTTGATTGTTGTAAGTGTTGCAAACGCTTACAGCTGAATCCTGGCTATGTTTGTATACTTTTTATTTAAAATTGTATACAGTGTAACATTCTTCTTCTTCCACTGGGTAAGTATATTAGTACTTAGGCAATACTGCGCTTCAGAACTTCGGCAATTCGGAAACTTCGGAACTTCGGCACTTCGACAATTCGGAAATTCGGTAATTTCGGAACTTCGGGACCTCGGTAATTCGGCACTTCGGCAATTCGGCTATTCGGAAGTACCCGAATGTCCGAATTGCCCGAAATTCGTCCGAATTCATATTCGGCCCGAAACAAATTGCACATGTCTAGAACATATCTCTTGTTGCATGGAAGGATCTCACAGACACATGTATGTATATTTTTACATATTTGGCAGTGTTACGGCGTAGCTGTAAACAACTAACCTTTAAATTAAACATGTCAGTTTTTTTCCCCAGACTTGTGCAAACGGAAGTGGATCTGCAGAATTATACTCAGAAGTCAGCTTACAAGCCAGAATATCCTGACCAGATTTGCCACTATGCCACCGAGGCCACGGCGTGAGAGGGGCTGTATGGTGAGAGGGGAGATCAAAGATCTCCCTTACCAGCCAGCCCATTCTCTTCCTATGTGGCGGGCGCTGAATGGAGAGGCTGCACTTGCTTTCCCTCTCTTTAATATTGTTAGAGCGTTGCTGTGAGTTACCACTGATACATTTCTCTGTGCCGTCCGGAGCACAAGTCTGCACCCACAGGAGTGCAGACATGCTGCCTCTTCCACCGGGCCACCAGGGAACAGGATTCCTTCCTCCATGGCCCAAGCTAAGGAGGGAGGAAGAAACTTTAGTGTTGTTTCTTTTATTTAAAATTTTATTTAAATTATACATTTTCTTTTTGTAAATACAGCACTAAATATGGTCCCCAAATTACACTGGTATTGTAAATTAGGCTTTGGTGAGAAATATAATATAATATAATAATATAATCACGTAGAAATACAAGTATATATGTCAACAGGTTGTGATAAGACATTGGAGGATTAGGCCTAGACCAGTGGTGTATTTTGGATTTGTGCTGCCCTAGACACAACCAAATTCATACACCCCCAAATCTACATTTGCCCCCCCAATTTGTGTGAAGGCCACTTTTTTGACTGACAGACACAGGCCATCATTGACACATGCACTGACATACACTCAATTGCAGATACACAGTCATTGGCACACACATACCATCATTGGCACACACACTGTTTAATCAACACACACTTTCACTGACAGACACACACTCTCAGACACACATAAGATGACAGACACACACTGACACACACTCACAGACATACCCATCCTCACTGATTTGACACACTCTAACAGACACACACTTACACTCACTCACAGACACACACTGACAGCTACACATGTACTGACAGCTACACTCACTCACAGACTCACAGAGTGTGAGAGAGCAAGAAGAGCGGAGGGCAGTGCTTCCTTGCCGCCTGGCTAGA